GGACGGCCATCACCTCGGCCGTCCTGGCCCAGCTAAGGGGAGAGGGGAAGAGGACTTAGTGGCAAGGCCCCGTCCTCTCGCTCTTCTGCGCCGAAGCCTGACCCGAGGGCAGCCCAGAGCCCAGCTGGATTTTTGCCTTATTTTCTTAACCCCTTCAGCCGGTAATAAAGAAGTTTCCTACGCAGATCGCCTCTCCCGTGTCTTTCTGCAGCTTGCAGGGTGGCCCAGGCACAGTCCCCCCAGATCTGTTTGCTCCCTGGTCCTTCAGGACCCTCCCAGCATCGCGCTGGTGTTGGGGCGCAGCCGGTTTCGGCTCCAGCCCCACGGGGTCCACATGGACCCCCCAGAGCCTGGCAGCCGGCCTGGCCGTGCTCCGGGGTGAAGATTGGGTGAAACCCTGGGAGCAGGGGGGGGGACGCGCTTATCGCCCAGCCGATCTGTACACCAACACGCCGCTTCTGGGAAAGCCTTATCTCGCACCCCGCAGCCGAGGGCGGGGGGGCTGTGGTGCTGCCGCACGCCTTGGCATGGGGACGCTGCTGCGCCCAGCGGGGAAACCTGGAAGGGAGAAGAGGCTTTAGCACCTGGAAGGCAACACATCCTCATATCCCTGTATCCGAGCATCCCTGCAACCCCACATCCCTCTGCCTCCCCGTTTTGTCCCAGCTGTGGGGCAGGCAGGGACGGCCCCCCCCCATGTCCCCGCACCGGGACAGGGACAGCCTTTCCCCTTGGAGGAGCATGCCGGCTTTTATCTCCCTCTTGCATTTTGTTGAGGGGCTCTTGTGAACACAAAGAGCCCATTCTGCCCCAAAGCGGACGTGGGCATCTGAGGTTTCTCTATTTCTTTTTTTAACTGTTCCTCACACATTCCTCGCTGCAGGAGGGCGGCAGGGGACAGGAGCCGTGCCCAGGGCCAGCATCCCGGCACGCAGGGTGGTGCTGAGCTGAGGCACGTCAAGAGCAGCCTTGTGAGCGACAAAGGACAGGGGCAGCACCACCCAGCCCCCTCTGGATTAAAAAAGAAAGAAAAAAAAAAAATAAAACCTTTGTGGACAGATATATCGGAATGCCCCGCTGATTTTTAAATGGTTTTTAAAACACTAGGTATAAAAAAAGGCAATTAAGGTTTCTTGGGTGGTTTAAAATCTTAAGGGCAGGCAAAGTCTTCAGATGTTTTCTGTTTGTTTTGGAAATCTATGGAAATGCTCCCCTGGAAAAGAGCAATCAGAAGGCACAGCAGAGCACAGTGGCCCGGAGCACGGAGGGCAAACCGCGCCAGATCACCACAGCACATTTGACTGTCAAACACTGGTGCACCCCCAGCTTCCGGGGGGCCACCTCAAACGATCAGCCTGCGAATCCTCGAGCAGGTGAAGTCACCCACGCTCTCCCCATGAGCTGCTCCTCTGGCAGAGCCCAGCTGGGCTGTGCCCCGCAGGATCATCCCCAGAGGGCAGAGACCGACCCCTGCTCCCCTGGGAGCTTCCCCTTGGCTCCACTACCCCCCTCCTGGGCACAAACCCCAGGGTGCATTTACTCTTAAGAGTACTTAGGCAATCCAAGGGTTGAATTCTTATAGAAGACAGGCCAAAATTCATAGAATCACAGAATGGTTTGGGTGGGAAGGGACCCCCAGAGGTCACCCAGCCCAACCCCCCTGCAGGAGCAGGGACACCTTGAACCACATCAGGTTGCTCACAGCCCCGGCCAACCTGGCCTGGAATGTTCCCAGGGATGGGGCCTCCACCCCCTCTCTGGGCAACCTGTTCCAAATTAAGATTGTTCCTCTAACAGGAGCTTGGAAAAAAAAAATAACAAAAAAAGAGCACGCCTTAGTTGTGACAGGACATGAGCAGGATCACGCCCTGCTGGCGCTGGGTCTGTGCTTCCCGCAGCGGTGGCACCCAGCCCCCAGCAGCTACTTGCCAGCTCCCACCAGTGTGTTGCCAGTGCCCTCTCGCGCCCGCGGAAGCGTCCCAGCACCCCGGAGAGGAGGAACTCGCACACAGATTGCGAAATGAAACTCTGAGATGGCTGTAGCTTGCGGGCAGACACACCGCCCCGTGTTTGTACACTGCAGTGACACACAGACCCACCTGCAGTTCTTAACACAAACGGTAAGACCAAGGCAATGTTTCCCACTAAATTCTGTAAAATATTAGGCAAAAACTATACATCTTCCAAAAAAGTGCAGCCCTTCCAGTACCGGAACAGCAGGATTTTCTCTCCAGAGAGAAGCCGCTGAGTTCTCTGCAGCTGAGCAGTCTTCTTCGCTCTAACATTTCACACACAGTCGTGACGGGACACAGGCTGCAGCAATACCCACAGCCATGTCAGCACTCCGAGAGTGGCCGTACACACGTGAACAGTGACACGTTGTGCGCGAGTTGTGCGTATCTTACAGCTTCGTTTAGTAGTGCGCAGAATCCTACTAATAGCTAGAATAATTGCACTGCAAATTTAAGTGGAATGAGAACGAGCTTTACAGTCAGTTTAGGCATTGTTTGCTTTCTTCTCCGAGTTTTCTTTCGGATCCTGCTTCAACTTGTAATCAGCCAAGGCAGCCTTGATCGCGTCTTCAGCCAACACTACAAACAAAACAAGTATTTCAAGGACAACAAAAAGTCATTTACATCGAAAAACGCCGTAAAAACAAGAGCAGCCAGCGGTGACCACCACCACAGGCAGCACCGGTCAGCATCTTAGAACGTCAGAACCTGAACACTTATTATCAGTCTGCTGAGCTACAGAGTCCAAAAAATGAGAGAGATCTGAAAACTCTTAAAATAACCTCAAAATCTGAACATAAGGAAGTTTCTCTCACGGGCCAACCTTAGCTGTTCCCTGCGCAGAAACTTTATTTGGAAAACAACATTCGGCAGCATCTGCGCTATTCCCAGAGCTGGCATTTGAACTTTCACCGTTCGGTCCTTTACTTACTAGAGCAGTGCAGTTTGACCGGCGGGAGGCAGAGCTCTTTAGCGATATCAGTGTTCTTGATTTGCAACGCTTCGTCAACCTGAAAAGCAGTCAGCGTGTGTAGTCACCGGTCATGTGAGGGACAAGCACGGGCAGCAAAGGCATTTGCTGTGGGAGTGCTTTAAGGCTCCAGAGCCAACAGAAGCCACATGGAAGAATATCTCAACTTCCAGGGGCAGTGAAGGACATCAGAATTAAGGAACGTCTCAGACCGAGCAGCGGCAGGAATGAACCAAAGCGTACCAGTGTTACAGACTAAGTGCCACCGGGGGGATTGTTCTATGCTTACCTTTTACTAGAATACAGAAACATGTTTTTGGTCTGGCGGAAAAAGAGTACAAACAATCTAAAGACACCCAGTAACTACAGTTTTTTTTTCAGAAGCCACGCTCAGCATGTTCTACTTTCTGGGTAAGACACAAAGTACTTCCCTGCAGATTAACGGGGGCCCTTGAAAAAGGGAACCATTGCTCTAGAAGTCAGACCACTAACAGGGCTGGCAGCTGCTGCACT